ATTCACCAGGTTTGAGTAGCTAAGTGTGCCAGTCATCATGCTATGTATGATTTTTATATCATGCTTATATCTGTATCACATTATATCTAGATCTTACAATAGTTGTAAGAATGCAACTTAATTATAGTACAAATTTTAAAACATGTTGTTTTTATTAATAACACAACTTATCTGATGTTAGAATCATTTATAATAAAAAATAGTCATTTTTAACATCTGTTCATTTACCTATTCAGCACATTTATTGAACACCTGTTGTGTGTTGGCCATTGTGCCAGATGCTATTAAATTAATTAGTTAAGTTTTGGGTTAGGTTGTTTTATTTAATTAATTAAATTTATTTATTTATTTATTTACTTACTTACTTACTTACTTATTTAATTGAGGTATAGTCAGTTTATAATGTTGTTGATTGTTTTATTTTTTAAGTAAGCTTTAGTGTTTAGACCAGTTACTAGTTTTACAGAAAAAAATGTGAAGATAGTGCAGAGTTCCCATAAACCCCACATACGGCTTCCCCTGTTACTAACACTTTACATTAGTAAGGTATGTTTGTTACGACTACTGGACCAATGTTAACTCTGATCTTGAGGTGACGTTATGTAGATTTCCTATGAGGCTTAGCAGCACACTCTCCTTTGGTCACCAGAGCTGTATATTCTAGGAGTGCCCACATGCTGACCCATGTTGTGGGACCAACTACTGTGTATGCATTGGTAGGCAGGGCTGGCCTCCTGCCCAGTTGGCTGCCAGGCTTACTCGTGTGGTGGCTGCTGGCGCACTGTTGGTCAGGGCTGGGTCCTGGAGTTGCTGGCTGCAGGTCCTGAGGGAGAGGGGACGATGTTAGGTGTTATTTTTATGGTCATTTATTGCACATTGTGCTCCAGCTAGAAACTTTACAACTAGACATTTACCTTGTATAGTTGACAGCATCAAAGAAAATAGCTTTAAGTTAAGAGAGATGGTAATTCCAGTCTACAATAGCTTAGGAAGTACTAGCTATGGGTGATGGAGAGCGGGTGTTTGTGGAGGGTAGTGCTTCCCCGGAGATCTTCAAAAACAGATGAGATGTAATTAAGACATATACTTGCTTGAAGCCAAGGGTTTAGACCCTGTATTTTAGGTTCCTTCCAGCTTTGTTTCAAGTTTCTAAATGTTGGAGCAGTAATGTGAGGTACATGCCCTCAACACATAATCTGTGAGTGACCAACATGCACCTAAGTGTCCCAGTATGGTGCTTGGTCTTACAGATCTTTTCTTCAGTTTCATAGGTCAGACCTGATAATTTAATTAGGCAGGAAATGTGATGTATTTTGGGAACTGGAAACTGCTTTTTAAGTTCTACGGTGGGAAGAAGAGCTTCGGATTCCTGACCCCCCCATCCCCAGGTAGGAGTGTCCTGGCCTCCCACTGCTCTTTCACCTCCAGTCTGAGTTTCACAGGCTTCTTTTATGTCATTATTCTTTTCCCCATCTCCACCTTAATTCCCAGTCATTGTTTTTAATCTAGTTCAGTTCTGGCTTCACTGGGATAATGTTAAAATAGCCCTCACTCTGAATGTGATAGTATTACAGCCCACCAGGGGAAAATTATGTTGTGTACCTTTTCTGCTACAGAGCTGAACAGCAGTGAATAATGGGATAGCATTGGTAGGAAGAGCAAAACCACTCTATGGGCCTGAGGTCCTTCTTGAGTCACACAGCTGAATACTAAATAAGAAAGATGTAAAGTAAAGGAAGATTTGCAAAGTTCCCAAACCATTCTCCTTGGTAGGTGGAAATTAAGTCTTTTTAGAAATGGAAGGCTGCATATAACTTCTAGTTTT